GAGATGGATCAGCCAGGTGGCATCATTGATGGCGTCAAGTGTGGCAGCGGTGGTGGGGTTGGCCCAGGATCAGACATTGTTTCATTCTGCTGTGCATGGGGTCGCTATGAGTTGGTTCCAACTTGATGGCACCTGACAACAACAACAACAAGGACACATACACACTAAAATATAACAGTAGTTACCTCTACGGGATAAAAATGGGGTTTATGGGTGTTGGTATCACTGAAGCTCTCCTACCTTTTATTCTGTATATGAGTATTTATGTGCTGTTTGAATTGTTTTTCACCAAGCATAAGTGACTTTTGCAACAACAAGAAAAAAAAAATGTGAACAAACACATCTGTCTTGGAAGAAGTCCAACCATTCCCTTAGAAGTGATGATGACAAGACTTTGCTTTGTCTCTCATACTTCAGACATGTTATCAGGAGGGACAAATCCCTGAAGAAGGATGTCATGGTAAAGTGGAGGGCTAATGAAAAACAGGAAGACCCTCAACAAGTTGGGTTCGCACAGTGATGCAGCCACGGGCTCAAGGGTAACCGTAATTATGAGGATGGTACAGAACCTGGCAGTGATTCTTTTTGTTGTGCACAGGGTTGCTATGAGTCTGAACCGACTCAACAGGACCTAACATATATCTATAGACTTAATAATATGGGTGTTGTTGATTTTTAAGTGCTGTTGGGTCAGTTTCAACCCATTGTGACCCTGTATAGGGTTTCTAAGGAGCAACTGGTGGGTTTGAACTGCCAACCTTGCTGTTCAAACTGACCTGTAGTCCAGTGCATTGTCCTGAAGCACCCCACCAGGACTTCAAAATTGTTGTTGTTGTTGTTAAGTGCCGTTGAGTTGGTTCTGACTCATAGCAACCCAGTATAAGGTTTCCAAGGAGTGACTGGTGAGTTTGAACTGCTGACTTGGTGGTTCAAACCAATCTTGCAGTCTTGCGCTTATACTACAGCACCACACCAGAAGTCTGGACTTCAAAATAATTGTGGGAAAATTCCATTATTTTTTAGTTTCATTTTTTCCGTGAACACTTTCAAGTCTCCTTGCATATCAATAAGTAAAAGCACAATATTATTATACTAAATCTTGCTTATATTTCAGTTCCACAGCCTCCTAGATTAGAACCTCAGGAACCAAATTCTGCCACTGGTGCAACGATTGCAGTTTATTGGAGTATGAACAAGGATGATGTCATTGACTCATTCCAGGTTTATTGCATGGAGGAGCCACAGGATGACCAAGAAATAAATGGTAGGATTGTGATTTGTCTTGGCCACACAAATACATCTGCATGCCAATATATTTGTAGCGTGATTTGAAGAATTCAAACATATGCATGTATATATAAAGTGCCTTGCCATCAAACATTTATAGACACTTAACCAAACAAAAACAGACAGAAACAACCCACATACTTAAATATTATCATAATTGTCAACAAATATATTGGAATTGAGATTCACATGTAGCTTGATAACAAGAACAATTAAGTGGTTCTTGTTTTCAAAAAGGAGAAAATATGCTAACCAGAGTTTCAGGGAAAACAAAGTTTTAACCCATTGACGTCTAAAAGAAAAGTTTAATGTGCTCCACTGGTAGCGGGAGAATGAGCTATGGAAAGTACAGTGGTCTATACAATAATTTAATAGAAATATGGCATTGGATAGCATGATTGACAGTTTCTCAGATCTGCCTTTCATAAAATCTGCCCACTAAAATACTCACTGTGACTGAGTTGATATTGACACATAGCAATCCTGTAGGACAGACAGAACTGCTTCAAGCGCTTTCCAAGGCTATAAATCTTTGTGGGAGCAGACACCCTCATCTTTCTTGCATGCACTGGCTGGTGGGTTCAAACAGTTAATTTTGAGATTAGCATTCCAATGTGTACCACTCTACCACCAAGGCTCCATGATAAAAGCTACAAGTAAACTATAAGGGTTAATTCAGAGTTTGCCGTTCTGAAGGCATGGACTTAGGTTTGGTGTAGTCTTTGGTGGGTAGATGTTAAAGTGCGTGTTAGTAGGGTGAATGCATGGCCTGTCTTATAGTTAGGCCATGTAAATGTCTCTCTGTTCAGTAGGACTTCTAATAAGACATAGAAGCCAAGTAGTTTGAGGCTGTACTTCCTGATGAATCAGAGCTGGCATTCTGTACTGTTTGTTTGAAGACAGACACATACACTTTGGAAACCATGTGAGCATGTGGCAAGACTGACATCCTATAACAAAACTAACATGTAATGGGCATAAGTGGTAATAGATTCTATTGTTAACTGATATTTAAGTCTTTTGACATGTTCTATGATACTTAGAATAGAATGAAGTAAAGGGGGAAAAAAGCAACTTTAGGCATGGTGTAAAATTGGCTTGATTTTATCTATAAATTACTAACTCCTTACTCATTGCCATCAAGTTGGTGGCTTTTAAAACCTCTAATTCATTGTCATCAAACTGATTCTGACTCAAGTATAATAAAGATACCCGAAATGGCCACAGGCTAACTTAATAAAGGAAAGAATTCTTTTACAGGAAAGAAAATTTCAGTAAGAAAAGTCAGATTGGTTCACAGGACCATATGTTTAGAATGGTGTTGAGTAACATTTACTCCTAAAAAATGGAAGGTAAAATAATTCAAGAAATTTAAAAAGGAAATGTCTTGATTAAACAAAATTACTTCTTAAAGTAGGTTGTTATTATTGTTGTTAAATGGTGTCAAGTTGATTCTGACTCATAAAGACCTCTTATGGGGTTTCAGAGGAGCGACTGGTGGGCTTGAACCACTGGTGCTTATCAGTTTGATGACCAGGACTCCTAAAGTTGGTTGCTATTGTTGTTAAATGCCATCGAGCAGCTGGTGAGTTTGAACCACTGACCTTGTGGTTCACAGACCAGTGCTTATCTTACAGCTCCACACTAGGAGTAGGTTGTAACCCACATAGAAGCTGGGTTCTATGAAGAAAAACATGGCATCAGGATTGGAGGCATACTCATTAACAACCTGCGATATGCAGATGATACAATCTTGCTTGCTGAAAAATTGATTCTGACTATCTTAAAACATTTACTGATGAAGATTAAAGAGCACAGCATTCAGTATGGATTGCATCTCAATGTCAAGAAAACAAAAATCCTCACCACTGGACCAATAAACAACATTCTTATCAACGGAGAAAAGATTGAAGTTGTCAAGGACTTCAGGCTTCTTGGATCAACTATCAACACTCATGGAAGCAGCAGTCAAGAAATCAAACGACATATTGCATTAGGCAAAGCTGCTGCACGAGACCTTTTTAAAGTGTTGAAGAGCAAAGATGTTAGCTTGAGGGCTAAGGTGCACCTGACTCAAGCCATAGTATTTTCCAATAACCTCATATGCATGCAAAAGCTGGACAGTGAATTAGGAAGACCATAAAAGAATTGATGCTTTTGAGTTATGGTGTTGGAGGAGAATACTGAAAGTGCCACGGCTGCCAAAAGAACCAATAGATCCATTTTGGAAGAAGTGCAGGCAGAGTGCTCCTTAGAGACCAAGATGGCCAAACTTCGTCTCTCATACTTTGGACATATTGTCAGGAGGGACTAGTCACTGGAGAAGGATATCATGTTTGGTTAGGTGGAGGGTCAGAGAAGAAGAGGAAAACCCCTAACGAGATGGATTGGCCAGGTGGCAGCATCGATGGACTCAAGCGTGGCAACAATAGTGAGGTTGGCCCATGATCGGGCAGTGTTTCGTTCTGCTGTGCATAAGGTCACTTTGAGTCGGTACTGGCTCTATGGCACCTAACAACAACAACAGTTTGCTTCCAAGTAGAACTGTATTCCCTCAGGTTTTCATAGCTGTGAGCTTTCTGAAGCACATCACAAGGCCTTGCTTTCTAAGTGCTTCTGAGTGGGTTTGAACCATCAACTTCTTGGTTAAATGCTTAACCATATGTGCTATCTGGTTGACACCTGGGAAGTCATACTTTGTATTTAAATGATTTATTAATCTGTAAAAATGATTTGGAGCAACATAAGTTTAGAAAAACAGAAGTGTCCTTATTATATGACATTCTTTCCTGAAATATTGGCATTGTTTCTTAAGAATTTTCTTGAGGAGGAAAAACTACAGTGATCTAAGCTAACATAAACTCTATGCAACTTTAATATTTGCTATCAAAATAAGTTTATTTAATTGTGGTAAATGAAGTTTAGAATTTTATGAATTTTACGCTATTATTTTCTGTTAAGTGTTCACAAGTACTACTCTGTCATTCTAAATATTCCTTTTCAGAATGCTATGGCTTTTTTATGCATTCTGAAGTACTAGCTATCATAAAATATTTATAGAGATTTATCAGCTTGAGTTCTTCTACTGAAATAAGCTGTGGGTCACTTTTCCCCCCTGTAACTATAACTTTGAATGATCTTTGGGAGACACCTTACAGTTTGTGATTGTCTTTCATGCTAGAATTGGTGGAAGAATACAGAGTGACAGTGAAAGAAAGCTACTGCATTTTTGAAGATTTGGAGCCTGACCGATGTTACCAAGTATGGGTAATGGCTGTGAACTTCACCGGATGTAGTCTTCCCAGTGAAAGAGCAATGTTTAGGACAGGTAAGGGGATGTTAGGGGACAATACTCCATTCTTCACAGACACTTGAGGTCAACCAATAAGCATTTATCAAGCACTTATCACGTGCTGAGTGTTCTGTAAAGTGCTGGGGCTGCAACAATGAATAAGAGGCTCGTAGTTAAGTAAGGGAGGCAAACAGAAGCTCATGGGAGATTGTGGTAAGGCCTGTGATCTACACCTGCACAGGTGATTAATAGGAGAACCCTCCAGAGTGGCACTCGAGAAAGGCTGGGGCAGGCAGGAATGGCTTCCTGGAACAGATGTCTGATCTACATCTTTTAAAGGGTCAGTTAGGAAATGACGTGTTAACTGAGGGTGTTCTGCTTGAAGCAGGCATATGAGCAGAGTCATGGAGATAAGTGATAACATAGAGTATGCAGGTAGTATGTCTTGGACTTAGAAACAAGAAGAAGGAAGAAATGAGATGTGAAGGGATAGAGGAGAGAATACATGTACACCCAGAGAAGAAGCTCAAAACACCCAGCCAGTGGCCTCAGGTTGACTCCAGCTTCTGGTGACTCCAGGTGTGCAGAGTGGATCTACTCAGACGGGTTTCAAGGCTGTGACCTTTTGGAAGCAGCTCACCAGGCTTGTCTTCCAAGGTGCCTCTGGGTGGGTTCACACTGCCAACCTTTTGTTTAGTAGTTGAACATTTAACCATTTGAACCACTCAAGGATTCCTAAGGTAAGATGGTCAGGCAATAATATAGAGCTTCTTTGTTGTTGTTGAGTGCATATAACTTCTGTTGCTGTTATTAAGTGCCATCGAGTTCATTCCGACCCATAGCAATCCTGTATAAGGTTTCTGAGGAGTGGCGGTGAGCTTGAACTACTGACCTTGTGGTTCAAACCGACTTTGTAGTTTAGCGCATTAGCCCACAGTGCCACACCAGGACTCCATATAACTTCTGTTGTTGTTGTTGTGTGCCATTGAGTCAGTGCTGACCCATAGTGACCCTTTATAGGGTTTCCTAGGAGCAGCTGGTGAGCTTGAACCACCGACCTTGCAGTTAAAACGCCTTTGCAGTCTGGCACATTAACCCACAGCACCACACCAGTGCCCCCAAAAGATTTTAAGCGATGCTATTCAAGTATGGAAAACATTCCAGTGATTTAAAGTTTTCACAGGTGACTGAAGCAAAAGGTGTGGCATAAGCTAAAGCTACATTGCCTTTTTAATAATTCAGCTGCCTCAAGGAAAGAAATGACTCATTTCTACCATTTATCCTTGCTCCTTCCCTTTTTACACACATATTTACTGAGCACCTACTTACAGAAAGATCATTGCTACCTTTTGTGTAGATGGTGAAGGGGATAAGAATCTTTATTTTTATTGTATAAATATGTATATATTTATACATAAAAATACATATAAATCTAAAGGAACTTTGGTAAGATTTATAGGAAGCTAATATTAGAGGCTATCGGTTTGGGTTTGGGGATGGGTAAGGATTGGGCAATATGGAAGGCTAGGGTGGGAGGGAAATTTTTCAGTACATAATTTTTTATCCTTTTGGAATTTTCAAGCCAGCATGTACGCTAATTAAACATTAAATTAAAATCTTGCCCAATCGTTCTTCCCAGGGTACCCGAGAAGTAGTTCTAGAATTGCTTCACCTGTGATTGACTTGGCTCTCTCTCCTTGTAGCACCTTCCACCCCTGTAATCCGCAATGAGGACTGCACAGTGTGTTGGAACACAGCCACCATCCGATGGAGGCCTGCCAACCCAGATGCCACGGAGACCTACACTCTAGAGTACTGCAGACAGCACTCTCCTGAGGGCGAGGGTCTCAGGTAAAGGCCCCTCTTTGTTGGGAAGCCCCATTCAGACCTGGATGGTTGTAGGAACCCAGGATGGGGGCTCAGAGTCCTAAGCTAACCTCTGGGCCTATGCTCACAGAGGGAGAACAACTTCCTAAAATGCTGCTGAGCTAATTAAGCTGTGGACTTGATTTGCAACTCCAACACTTCTCATCAATGAACTCTAAGCGTGTAATAAAAACACATCCTATAATGCAGAATAATAATTCCCTTAAAAGAAAAATGTCTGCACATTTTAACAAGATTGAACATTCTTGGAGGTATATTTAACTTGAGTCATTAGATAGGATTTATGCATATTTTTATGCACTTTTTACTAGTTATATCGGAATAAGTACCACCTAACTCAGGAAACTAATAGTGAGCTTATGTGTAACATAAATCTAAAGGTCTCCTTGATATATTGGTAATATAAAGGTGCTAATTATGCATATATTATCACAAAGACATATCTGTTTCTCGAAGAGCAGGAAAAAAGAAATGGGAAACTCCCTCACTAAAATTATGAAGCTAAAATTTATCAATAAAGGGTAGTCATCCAGTGGGCTTTTGGTAAATGTTAACTCATCTGGTGAGGTGGTGTTTTCTGAAACTCTAATCTTATGCTAATAATTCATAATGAATACTCAGATCACTCTGACTAATATTCATATCTTGATAGAGACATTTTTAGCTGTTTTATAAAGTAAGTTTGCTGAGATAGACTATTTTGGTAGGGTATGAAACTTAGGACTAATGGCATGAAACTAGACAGCTTTTTAATAAAGTGTATTATTTAAGTTCTTGATTATCATAATGATCAATCAACAGCTATTTATTTAGTTATGATATGAAGTTTCATACGACTGAGCAATAATTATAGTTGCTTTCAAGTATGTGAAGACAAGCTTAACAAAATAATAACCAAAGGATGAATTCATGTTGGGTGGGATGTAGGAGTTTCGGTAGAAATGAGAAGATAGTAAATGTACAAGGAGCAACAACTTTGTTAACGTTCTAATTTCTGAGAGACAGACTCTGGTCTAGAAAAGAGAAAGGAAAAGGAAAGTGAGAAAATGACTGAACTGTATCGAGCATTTACAATGTGCTAGTTTGTGTCTAACTGCTTTCTGTACATGGCCTCATTTAATCTTCACATGAACTTTGAGAGACTATTCACCTAGTGAGTAGCTATCAGGATTAAAACCCAAATTTTGTCATATTTCAAAGCCCAAATTTAAACAAAGCAGTTTCTATCAAGTCAATTTCGACTCACGGTGATGCCCATATATAACCAGAATAAAACTGCGCTGTATGGTTTTCAATGGCTGTGACCTTTTGTTTTATTTTTTTGAGTGAAGGTTTGTAGACAACATCATCAGTTTTGCATTCAACAAATCATACACTTTGCTTCATGTCAATGATTGCAATCCCGCTTCCTCCCTTTGCTTCCTGTTTCCATTCCACCAACCTTCCCAACCCTTCTCAACTTTGTCCTTAGGTAAATGTTGCCCTTTTGATTTTGAATGAATGATGATTCCATGGGGAGCAGACCTTACTAGTGTTGTTGTCCCCCCTATAGACCTATCTACTGCTTGACTGAAATTTGGGTCATGAGGGTGAGGTCCTTTCCAGACCTGAAGGGTGGTCGAGGGCCACAGTCTTGAATTCCTCCAGTCTCTTTCTCCATCATCAGTGAGGAAAACTCAGCTCTCTCTGAGGCAAGTTGAGATGGTGAAGGAATGCTCTTAAATGACTCATCTTGTTATTTCATCAGTCTCCAGCTGGTGTTTGCATAAGTGATATCAGCACAGTTGGACACTTAAATCAGCAGAGATCTGGAAATGTGGAGAATGGATAACCATCTCACTGAAGGAACTCTGATGTCATTTCATAAATGTGGCTACAGGGAGATGGGAAAGGGAGGTGGAAGGGGAAATGGCATCCATTGAAGGCTTTCAACATGCGAAGAACTATGCTAAATGTCATTTAGCTCGACATAATCCTGTGAGCTAGAAAATGACCTCTATGAAATGTAACTCGGGGTGGTTAACTAATTTGATCAAGATCACAAAAGAGTGATAAATGGTAGAGAGTTTGGAACCAAGATTCAAACGCAGGTCTATCTTATTCTTTCCAATAATCATAAAACTCATGTTATTATACAGACAGAATTAGCATTCCTCAATAGCCTGACAACTGAGAGTTGTTCTATGTCCTTAGTTTCCTTTTGTGACATAAAAAAAACATAGATATGAGAAGACAAAACACACACACACACACACACACACACAAACAAACACAAACAAACAAACCAAGGGCCATTTGATCTTAACAGTGCAGTCCAACAAACCTTTTTATCAAAGCCAAAGAAACCATTGACAGTTCCATTTTTAGGAAAAGCTGGTCATCACAAAAGTTGAGCTTTTCAGTAGTTTATTAGTTTTGAGTCTTTGCCAATGGGTTCATTTAACTTTGTCTTATTTTAGGAGAGAATATAAGGGTCCAGGTAAGCAGAAGTTTGCAGTAGTCATAGAGTATAAGGATCCTTCCCTATTGAATGGATATAATCCAGCAAATTTAGAAGTGAAGGGAAATTTGCATGCAACAAATTCCCAGCTGATAGTTTGGAACTGTGTTGGAGATGGAGCTGTTTCCAGTTAGGTGCTTGTCTTAAGCTGAGTTTTCTAGAGAAGCAAAACCAGTGAAACATATATATAGATATAGATATATGTTTATTATCAAGTATATGGATTACATTGTAAAGTCCCAGGTCCCCAGTGAAAGAGACAGAGCCTTATCCACATGTCCATTATATTGAGAGCAGGCCACATCCCCAAGCAAGCATCCCTTTAACTGATTGGCTGCTCATAGCCACTCATCTTAGAGTTAGCTAGACATGTATTAGGTTTCATCATTATGGGAATAAATACATCTCAACTGCTAAAGCTCTGGAAATCCTGGTCTTATCAAGTTGGCACAGAACCCTCATTATTACAGTGTTAAAAGACCTTCTATGCTAGGAAGTGCCACAGTATTGTCCAATCTATGGCGTAGGGCTGACTCTCCAGTCTCTTGGTCCCCATTGAGTCTAACAATAGCTAATTTTTGAATCAAGTAAAATTTTGTTGGCCACAAATTACTGCCCCCAGGCACTTTCCAAGTCTATTTCTGATCATACCATACCAGAGTCATTTCTCACCAGTACGAAGCTCAGTGTCTTAAACCCTAGGCTGGGTTCAACAGATTGAATCTTTAATTTTAGGGCCTCAGGACTACAACACTCCTTAATATCTCTTTTGGCTTTTCAACGTAAGGGTTCAGGAGGGAAGGAAAATTCTGCTCTTTAAGAGTGCCTGTGTGTCTTAGGTCACAACCAACTTCGGAAACTTTATTTACAATATCCGATGGATCAACAGTCTGCAGAACATTAGCCTCTAAGATGCTAGCTTGAATGAGTTGTTGTTAAGTGCCATTGAGGTTGAGGATTTAATTCAGTCTTTAAAATGCTAGCTTGAATGAGTTGTTAAATGCCATTGAGGTTGAGTTGTTTCCAACTTATAGTGACTGTGTATAGAGTTTCCAAGGAACAACTGGCAAATTAGCAGTCCAGTGCTTATCGTACAGCATTACACCAGGACTCTGTGAATGAGTGGTGGTGGTGGTTATGTGCCACTGAGTCACTTCTGACTCATATCGACCCTGTACAGGGTTTCTGAGGCTGTAAATCTTTACAGGAGCAGAACACCTCATCTTTCTCCCACGGAACAGTTGGTAGTTTCGAACTGCTGACCTTGCAGTTCGTAACCCGATTCATAACCACTACGCTACCAGAGTTCCTTCTGTGAATGAGTAGTCACACGTTAAAAGTGATAAACAAAGAACCTCAAAGTTTGATTACAGAGCTCTATTCAACAATGCAAACAGTCACACTTTTCCATTCTATCAGGAGCACATTCTTCACTGTGGTCTTCTGCACGGCAAACTATAGTTAAAATTACTTTTATTTTCTGAAAGAACAGCAAATCAAGGATTGTTCAGTTCCACTAGTATGTTGACTCCATGAAGGAACCAGTTTTAAATAAAGGGGTAGCCTCAATGTCTGGGACTCTGTCTGGCACATTGTAGTTACTCAATAAATACACATTCCCTGAATGGGTAAATATCAAATATTAAACACATGACACTGAAACCAGCAAGGAAAGGTAGGCCAGCTTTGAAGAACATCTTTTACTCAAAATGAGAAGAAAATAAACTGAGCTATCAGAGTGAAATCTGGCGCATGAATTAACACTTAACCAAGGGATTATTGCTCTTGTTAGTTGCTGCAAGTCAATTCTGACTCATGGTGAGCCCACATGTGCAGAATAAAACTGCTCCATAGGGTTTTCAAGGCTGTGACCTTGAAGGAGATCATCAGCCTTGTTTTCTGAGGTGTCCCTGGGTGGGTTCAACCTTTTGGCTAGTAGTCAGTGCCTTGCTGTTTGTTCTACCCAGGTACCCAAGTAGGGGATCAAATAAAAAACTCATTGCTGTTGAAAGAATTCTGGCTTTTAGCAATTCTATAGACTAGAATACAACATCCCCACAGGGTTCCTGAGGCTCTAAATCTTTATGGAAGCAGATTGCCACTTCTTCCCCTTGTGGAGAAGTTTATGGTTGAAGCTGATGACTTTTCAGTTCACAGCTGAGCTGTTAACCACTAGGGCTCTGGCTTTCTGCTCCTGAAAAGATTTACAGCCTCAGAAACCCTATGCAGGGTCGCTATGAGTCGGAACCGACTCCACGGCACATAATAACAACAATTGTTGTTAGGTGCTGTCAAGTTGGTTCCTACTAACAGTCCTTTTTCAGGGACTGGTCTCTCCTGATAACATGCCCAAAGTACATAAGACAAAGTCTTGCCATCTTCACTGTTGTTGATAAGTACCGTGGAGTCGGTTCCGACTCATAGCGACCCTGCACAGGGTTTCCAAGGCTGTAAATCTTTACAG